ATATTCTACTATGCTATTAAGTAGTAAAGAGACTATAAAAGATATTTAACAAGTATTTACTAATAACATAAGCAGAATTTGTCACACTCCTGCAGTGGTACCTGGTTCCAATAGTTTTGTTGCGATAAGTTACAATTAATTTACTATATAAAGATTGTTAATGTAATGACAGTAAATATTTTTATTTAAATAAAGTCTCGTATTTAATGTTTGTTCACGATAAAAAAAAAAATAAAATAAGCCACTGTCACTAATTACAACTAATATTGTATTTTAGATTAATAAAATTAAAGCTATACTATCAATTATGATAACTAGTCAACCTATTAATAATATCTATTACAATGACTTAAAAAATAAGCAAAATAAAATTCTTATTTACTATAATAAAATAATCAAATACAAAAGAATTTCAAATACTATTCTAAATCTTTTTAACAAATTTAAAGATAATTTTAAATAAAGACTTTTCCAGATTATTATTAAAGGCTATCTTCTTACTAAAGATAACTTAATTAAAGGTCAATATTAACTTAAGTATAAAAATATAAAAAACTAATTTAAAACTAATTATTTAAAAATCAATTATATTGATTATATTATCAAAGTAACAAGAAAAAAATAAAAGTTATTATTAATAAAATATTATTTGCAATATATATTAAGTTAATTAACTTAATCAAATTAAAATATTGACAAATTACTTAACTTTAAAGTATGAATTCTACTTTTTTTTTAATCTTTCATTTACAAAATTAACTATCAATAATTATATAACAAATATAAAAAACCTATCAGAATAAAGTTTTCAATCTTTCTAATATAACTGATAAAATTCTTTTTTTAATAAAAATCAAGTTGCCAAAAGTTATATCTATTACTTTTTTAAAATTAACTAAAGAGATAATAAAATATCTCAAAGTCTACTATAATTTTGAGCTATTCTCTTTTTTATTCTTTGTTTAAAGATTAAACTTTTCAAAAAATGTATATAATTTTAAAAAAGAAGTACAAAAAAATTTTTTTATTAAATTAAAAAACTTTTGAGATCTTATTAGATAATCAAAAGAATTTTCTAACAAACTATTTAATTTATACTTAATTTGTTACTATCTAAACAATTTCTATCTTTATCTTATATAAAACTATTAAAATATATTACATGTTACTTTTTTATAGACAACAAGTTTCAAAAATATTTTAAAAGCTATACAAATCCTTAGAAAATATAATTTTACTTTAAAAAAAATTATTCTCACTCAAATTTTATTAGTGTAAAAAGAAACAAAATGGGAATAGTGCTATGCTGCTACAACTAAATACAAGATCTGTCTTCGACTACCTTCATCATTACTACTTGCTTCTAATTTATTATCTCTCTAACTCTAATATCGATAATTGTAGATCCTAACACTTCAATATTATTAGTTTTTCTCCCATACTTACACTTTTTCATTTTGATCCCTTATAATTGTTTCCTATTCTTAAATTCTATTCACATATCTCTATAATGTCTTATTGAAGAAAATAAGAGTATCGAGAACCAGGCTCATGTGTGATGAACCATAGTAATTTGAAAGTCAGAAAGCAAATTATTGAGCAGGGTTATGCCAGTCAATGGGTAGGTTTCCAAACATTCTACTTCATTTTTCACTTCTTTTTCCATCAGATTATCTAATAAGTTCTTATTTGAAAAAGTTGAAGAGTATATTGTCAAGCAAGTCCTTACAGGTCAACAAGCAGGTCCCCAAGCAATTTCCTTTATTGTACAGTTCGCAACAAATTTTCTTATATTATCAATGAGGGAGGGAGGGTCTTTATGAAAAGCCGAATAAGAATTGGGCAGTGAAGAAAACAAGCACTAGTAATCTCATCATTACATCATTCCATAAATAACAATATCTGTATTACAAAAGTCACATATAGGATAATCTCGTGATAATAATCCTTGCATGACTATCGTCATGCATTGGGTAATTATTCTCACTCAGATTTTATTAGTGTAAGAAGAAACAAAATGGGAAAATAGAAGAGAATCGATTTTTTTTTTTTTAAAACCCATTTTCACTGACGTGTTTTGCATTGCTGTTGAAAAGGCTCTAAGATATAATGCAACAGATTGTAACAACCACCCATCAATACTCATAATTTGTGGTAGACTCAAGCCTGCTTTCATTGCTTTTGTTGCTCCTCCGATACATATACTGTGTCCTGAATACTTGCCTATTAATCCTACATGTCCTACCATTCTTTTCACAATGGCACTTATTGTGCCTGTTGTCATTTGCTTGCCATTCATGTTTAAGAATAAAGGATTCTGATCATTAAATTCCATTCTCAAACTTAAGTATGCCAAAGTTAATCTTAATAGACAGTATTTCAATTCTGTTAATTCTATTGATATAAACTTTCCTTTTGCAAATTAATCTGTTTTGAATCTGTTTATTCTTATCCAACAAACATTTTTTGTAAATTTTAGGTCAACTATTCGAAGATTACATAATTCTAACAGGTGACACATGGTCCGGAGTCCCAAGGCAATTATTGCACAATCTTATCTCCAAAGTATCATTGATGTTCCAGTTGGTGGATTGTCGATATAATTTTTCAAAGCACTAATAGGTAGTGGATCCCATGGCCAAGTTGCTTCATGTCCCAATGCTTCTGATTTTCTTAGTTTTTTTATGAGATTTTGAACTTTTACATCAGTTGTAGGGTCAGGCAAATATCTTTCTTGATGATATTTTTTGATTGCAATAAGAATTTATCTAAGTTTATTAGTTCCAGATAAAATATCATTCCAAGTTAAGAACATTAAGACAGATTCCGGTTGTGCTGGTTATGATGTTAGCCCATGTATTTTGCAAAATGTATCGAAGTTTTTCCAATATAGATAAAGTCATTTTTCATAGGCTGATTTTGGTAATAGAATTTTATAGGCTTTACAGAGTAAATCATTTAAAAATATATATTTATTGCTTGAAATTTCCACTGATGATTCTTCCAGGACTCCAGTATCAAATTTCCTCTGGAACTTGGTTGAAAGCTTATTTTTGCTGATGGTAAAGTTATTGTTTCCATTTTTTGTTTCATTAGGATTGGCCACTATGGTGTTGATGTCCATATCTGTGCAATTAATATTATTTGTGCTTGGTTTTGTATTGCATGTTCGAATACTCTGTGTACCATACTTAATGGAGGGCATACATAATTGTTTTCCAGGTTCCATTCTTGAGTAAAACAATCGGTGGCTTCTGATTCTGGGCAGTAGTAATGACTGTTGAAACGATTTAGCTTTTTTGACAGATAACTCGCCATTCTGTCTATTGTAAATGGACCCCATTTTAGATTTATTATTTTAAAAATTTTCTATGCTAGTATCCAATCGAAATCATCGAAAAACCTTGTTAGTTTGTCAGCTAGATTTAAATAGGTCGAAATCCATTGAATTTTGTGAATTTGTATATTGTAATGATTGCAAAGACTTCAAACTTCTCGCATAATTTCTTTTTGCCATGGTTGCTTTTCTCCTGCTTCTATTGTCTTGCGTGCTATATGGTTGTCCATAAATATTGTAATCCATTGATGTTTTATATCTGAAATAAATGCTTTGAGACTGAGTAACATTGCTAAGGCCTCTAAATAGGCTATATCTGTATACAAATGTTGGTATTCCCAGTTTCCAAATGCTTTTTTGTCTTTTAATATAGCTAACCATTCTATAGTTGAAGCATCGACAAAAATAGGAATAATTTGGGATGGTTTCCACGCAGGCTTTTCATTTTTTTCTTTTAAATTTTCTATTAGCCATCTTAGATCGTTTTTTGTTTGATTTGTTAACTTTACATAATTGTTCCATTTCCATGGTTCCTGATATATTGTATCGATTATTGTATAAAATTCCAGGCATCAAACTTTTGCATATGCAAATGCTTGATTTATACTCATCAATTTTCCAGTCATTTATGCTAAGTGTCAGACTGTTAATGATTTTGCTGTTAGCACTCCTCGTAGATTGTATAGTATATCTTTTATTTTTGCATCTGGAGCTGATATAACTCCTGTCACTGTATTTAAAATTAAACCATAGAATTTTGCTTTTTGGGTTGGATCTAATTGACTTTTGTCGGCCAGTATAAAACCACATTTTATCAAATCCGGAAGAATTGTCAAATCTCTGATTTGTAGTAATATCTCTCGGTTGGAATGAGCAATCCATATATCGTCTACATGGTTCCCACAAGATATTCCTAGAGATCGCCAATGGCCAATCAATGCTCACATTATTTTTGAGAAAATCCATACTGCTTGACTCAGTCCAAAGGACATTACATGATAATGATACCATTTTTCTTTTACAGAACCCTAGTAATCGTTGAGCTTTCTTGTCCATTAGTATATGATAATATCTCTCTTTTAGGTCTAATATGATTATCCACCAGTTTTTGCCAATCATTCAAAGAAATATTCCAAATCTCTCGAATTTAAATGTTTTCTCTGGTAATGTTGCATTTAACCGTCTGAGATCAATCACTAATCTCCATTTCTTGTGACTCTTTTTCGGTGTTAAAAATATAGGGCTGACTTCCAGTAATATTGTTGGACATGTTTTCATTGATGAAATTAAGGTAATTGCTTTTATTTCTATTAATTTTTGTATTTCTGTTTTTAACCAAACATCTTGTTCTTTGGTTAAAGGATAGTGCGGAGGATTTGGTTGGTTCGCCAGTACTAATAGCTCTTTTGGAAATAAGGAAATGCCATTTTCCAACCAGTTTACTATTAGTTCTAATGCCTGTATTTTAGTTTTCCAGTAATTTACGTGTTGTTTCATATGCAAGTGTCCAGTTACTGGTATGTGATATTGTGCTTGAGTGTAGTCAATTATGCTTTCTGTTCTCATTGTCTCCATTGTTGTAGCTTCTATCATATTTGCTCTTGTAGGAAGTATATCCTCGTGAATGGTAGGTTCGGTACTTGTAATTGTCTTTGTTCGAATCTGATGGACATTTACTTGCATAATGTCCATATCCTTTATAGATATAGCACTTGCTGGAATTTGGATTATTGTTTTTGCTTCTCTAGTTGGCTCGAAAAAACTTTTCCGAATCCCAATAATTGCTTTCTCAATAGGTATGATTGTTTGTTTTTGGTAGTTCATATGTTTTTTGTCACTTCACCTTTTTTACTTTCACTAATGTCTTCGCCTTTTCAATTAACGAATTCTTTTCCTTCATCCAATCATTTTGCGTATCAGGTAAGGCAGATGCAATATCCCAGTCATATCCTTCAGCTACTCTTAGTGTAAATATACGATTGGATGCAATTTCTCGTGCATTATTTATATGGTTCACCACTTTCATCATACTGTAAGATTCCATTGCTAGGTCTAATTCTTTGCTTATTTTTCATAAGGCATCATACTCATGTTGATCGTGTAATTTTTCAAACTTATGTTTCTGCCAAGTTTCATTTACTTCAACTTTTTGTTTTGTATCATGTACTTGCGCCGTTACAGTATTCAACTTATTATTCATTGTTAATACAGCACTTTCTAATTGCTTAAACTCTGTTAATATTTTACTTTCTGTTGATTCACAATTCTCATCATTTGGTAGACGACGTTTTTTATTTAGTAAATTTTGTCTAGGTTCCAGTTTGTCATTTTCAAGACTTAGCGATTGTTCTCTAACTAAGGAGTCCCATGGTTCTGCTCCTTTTTGTAACAGGTGTGCCAGTTCTCTTAAAGTTTTTGCTTGCTAATTCAAATCTATTTCTGATGTATCTGAGAGGTGATCATGACCCATCGTGTTTGAACCTTTCTCTTCGTTTTTATAGAATAGTTCAGTGTCATTGCTTTCAGCACGGTTCTTTCCTTTTAGATGCTTTCTTAATCTCTGAATCAGGTCAGCTTTTACTCTGTCAGTAGCGATACCAAGGGCTTGACAAATATTTTTGAGGTCTGTTTTTGATATATTTGCGTCAATTATTAGAACTTGAAGGTAGTCTTCACGAAAAGCCGGATAAGAATCGGGCAGCAAAGAAAACAAGCACTAATGATCTCATAATTACATTATTCCATAAATAACAATATCTGTACTACAAAAGTCACATGTAGGATAATCTTCGTGATAATAACCCTTGTATGACTATCATCATGCATCAGATAATTTCTATAAAATTATATTAAAACCAAGAGATTATTTTATCAATTTATTAATTCAGTAAAAACAATAATACCATTTTATTTATTAATAATTAAAATAAGATTAAGAACTTTATTAAACAACTTAGTAACAAATACTTTTTCAAATTATTTTAAACTTTAAATAAATTCAAACAGGCTTGAATTAATTAAAAAAATTCAACATCCCAATTAAATTTTTTTTGATAAAAGAAAAACTATGAATTTTAAGTGAAATGCTAAATAAAAAACTTTTAAACTTTAATTTAATAATTAAAAAAATAAAAAATAACCATATAAGAAAAATAATAAAAAAAGGAATTACTATTGTTATTTAATTTTTCTAACTTATTTATTATACAAAAAATATTTAAATCTAAAAATATCTCATTAGCTTTTTTTATAATTAAAGATAAAACTTTTGCAAATAAAATAAAAGTTCTTAAAAAACTATTTCACTTCAAAAACTATTAATCGAATTTCTTACTAAACTAGAGTTTTATTCAAACTTATCTAATCATAAATAAAATAATGTCCAACTCAAGTTTATTATTAAACCAGCTTTTAGGAAATATTAATTTTTCTATAATTATATTAAACATATCTTTTTTTCTTAAAAACCTTATTATAGTATTTACTTTTAATATTAGAGACCTTAATAACAATCCAAAACTATTTGAACTTACCAAATTCAAAACAAGCAAAAAATATATTCTTTACAGTTTCAAGACAAAAACTATAAAATAAAGATTACTATTTACATTTTTAAACAATATTATTATTATTACAAATATATTTAATAACTTTATCAAAAATAACCTAAACTAAACAATAACATCTTTTCCTATTTCCTATCAATCTCAAGAAAAAATACAAAATTCTATACTTTAATACAATTTTAAACATTTCCATATACTTCAAACCCTTCGGATCTTTTGCACTTTTTACAAATCCATCTCTTTCATATCAAAAACACAATTAACTAATACTTAACTATTACAAATACAGTAAATATAATTGACACACTTTCAATACAATACAATCTCAAAAATTTAAACAATATTCTTATCTTATCAACAAAACAATATTTCAAACAAATTAACAAACCATTTATTTTACAGAAATAATATTTTCTCAAAGAACATAACAAATATTCAAATCAAACTTTTTATTATTTTTTAATATCCTGACCTTTTTAAAGAATATATTAATCCCAACTATTATAAAATATCAATCCAGAATATATAATTTCTGTCTCAAAATTCTATTTAATATACTTTTAATCAAATCTCACCATTATACCATACTATTAAGCATCTATATAAATAATATTTGCCTTTACTGCAACTACTATATAAAAACTACTTATCACCTCTGACTCTGTAAACAAGTCCTGCCAACAATCAAAAAAATTCAAATTGATTCACAAACACTACTTAATAAAAAACTCAAAAACAATAAAAACTTTAATCTTAATCAAATATTAACTACCATTAACTTTACAATCCATCTAATCAATTTTGCAATGGATGTATTTCAACTAAAAAACTTATTTAACAATCTCAAATCAAATTAGTAGACTTCAAAATTCTAAATCAAATTCAAAACAAAATTCTTAAACTTATATAACAACATATTTGGATTGCAAGAAACAAGAATATAATTGAAAAGAAAAATTTTTCTACACTTATAAAACACTAAATATAGGAAAAACAACAATAATAACAAAAAAACCTTAAAACCCAAATATTAACTTAACAATTAATAATAAACTAATTTAACAAACTGAACTAATCAATAAAATATTTAAACTCTTTTTTCAAAATTTATCTATGCCCTTCCAGGATAGAATAAATTATTAAGAGACATTAGTTCTCCAAAATTTAATAGTTACTTTCTTTTCCTTGCTCAAAGGTTTTTTATTAGAAATATATTTAATATAGTAGTAGACTGTCATATATAGCAATTAAGAATTACAGCAGTTCAGTTCGAATTAGTTTTAATTAAAACTGAAACTGATCTAATTTATTTTTTTTAAATCAATATAATTTAAAAATTGTTAGTTTTAATTTTTTGTAAACCAATTTGATCCAAAAACTGTCAGTTTTAATTTTTTATAAACTAAACCAAAACTAATCTGATTTACATAAATATAATTTTTATTTTAAATTTAAATTTTCAATTTTTATAATTATAAAATATTTAATTTAATTTTTTTAAATTTATATTTAAATGTATTAGTTAAGTTATTACAGTATATATATATATATATATATATATTTTTAAGGGCTAAGTTGCGATACACGCGTGGATTTTATTGTTGGATCAATTAAGATTACAATTACCATACATGAACAGTCTATTAACTATTGCTAATATTAACTCATGCTACACGTCCTTTTTACCAGAATACCAACTTACACCAAGTAGGTGGGTCCATACCCTGGTTTATGCTTATAACTTCCTATTTGTAAATATAAGGTAAGGAAAATCCCGTGCCAACAGTGAAAAACCTTCCTAGCGGTCTCCTTTTTGGCTTATGACCCGACTCAACCGCAATTCTTTGATCTTTCTTTTAATGATAATAAATGGATTTTAATTAAGATAAAAAATTTTGTAATTTTATAATTTCAATACAAGCTGAACTCATCTTAAGATAATATATATGTATGTTTTATAGAACATTCTTTTACTCCTTGAACCTATAGAAAAAGCTACTAAGCATTTGTTAACATCGTCTTATCCAACTATGTATAATACACAATTTATTTTTGTCAGCATTTAAGAATATCTAATGACATATACAAAAAAAAATTTTTTTTCACATGATGTGGCAAGCTTAATGCTTCAAAAAATTACAAGTTATTGAAATATAATGAACAAATGTTCAATTATCTTAACTATTTTAAATTCTTGAAATAAGCTTCAATCTTTTCAGATAAACTTAAATTAGATGTTCAGGCACATATTCTATCTATTTATAAGATATACAAAAAATATTCATCAAATCAAGAATCACAAATACTTTTATCTAACTTTTTTGATATATGATAATATTTTATAAAACTGTAACAAAAAAATTTCACAAGTATTATAAATACTACAACTAAGGATAGGTCCCTAAACTATTTAGCATATAAAATTTTGCAGATCAATTATGTCCCTTTTAAAGGGACATAATTATTTATTCATTACTTT